ACAAACAAAGCAGGTTAGGAAACTTTTTTTTTTTTAGTAACAAAACATCTGGCTTTAAATTACTCAAATTAATCTGGGAAGAAGTCATGTTCAGGATTTATCATTTGGGGGAGGAGAGAGAGGATTTTTTCCCCTGGCTGATCCTCAGAAACACAGATCCTGGGACTCTCCCTCAGCTGCAGGGCAGCAGCTGGTAATGGTAATATAAAGATCCTTTGGCTGCTGTGCTCCTGGGGTCAGCGAGAGGATTCATTACAGAATGACTCTGGAGTAGATACAATGATTACAAAATCGAGTGTTTTATCCTAAAGGGCCTCCTTAATCTGTGGCTGAGCAATAAACCACAGCACGAGGAGAAATACAGCGGCCTTCCCAGGCAAGCCTGCTGCCTGCATTCCCACTGGGAGCTATTCCATATGCCTGGCAGAAATATCGGCATCCTGGCACCACCAACCTCAGAGCACCACGTGGCTGACGTAAAATCAATGCACCCAGCTGGGAATAACTTCAGATTTGGGAGTTTTTGTCTTCCTGAAAGTGCCAAGGAGCACCTGGGGTGAAGTCAGTGGTTAAAGCAGCAACAATGGAGAGGTAATGTCTGCTGAAAAGGCACAGGGAATGATGTATCCTGGACAACACTGAACACGCTCATTTCACTATCGTGGCATTTTTGATGGGGATTATTCAAGGGGAAAAGGAACACGAAACCACCCTAGAGATGAGAAATTCCACACGGGACCACTGTCCAGACACAATAGTCCAGTTTTGCCCAAGGTTTTCAATGGATTAAACCACCAACAATCCATTTCCAAAGCCTGAGAGGACATTCAGGCCCTTTTAACTTCTTCACTCCAGATGTTCAATTTGTCAGCAAAGTGGGGATCCACTTCCCTCAGCCATCTTACAAAGTCCCAAAGCTCTTTGGAAGTCACTGAAAAGGTACAGCAAAGTTCTAAAATTTCTCTTACCAATTAGTTAGACACTGCAACTCCTCCTTTAAAGAGAAGATGCAAATGGGAATCCTGACCAAGGTTTTGAAGGGGTTAAGGAAAGGGAAAGAATGAGGAAGAGACCCAGCAAAGCAAAAAGGCATTTTGCACGGTGGGGATTTAAGAAGAAGTAGCAAATGATGAATTATAAGGTGTGATAAAGAGCTGCTCAAATGCATCCTGGGTAGCCAAGCATTGCTGCCCAGATATAATCCAGGGGGAGGAGCCAAGCATTGCTGCCCAGATATAACCCAGGGGGAGGAGCCAAGCATTGCTGCCCGGATATAATCCAGGGGGAGGAGCCAAGCATTGCTACCTGGATATAACCCAGGGGGAGGAGCCAAGCATTGCTGCCCAGATATAACCCAGAGGGAGGAGCCAAGCATTGCTACCCAGATATAATCCAGAGGGAGGAGCCAAGCATTGCTACCTGGATATAATCCAGAGGGAGGAGCCAAGCATTGCTACCCAGATATAATCCAGGGGGAGGAGCCAAGCATT